TGCCCCAAGGTGGGTGGAGCCAAATTTAAAAAACTCGCAAAACGCTTGCCAGGGCTTGGATACCGGGAAAAAGTAGTTTAAGGCAACGAGGGTCATTGGTTGAGAAGCGCGAGACAGTCGTTGTGGGCGGGTGCCCCAAGGTGAGGGAGCCAAATTTTAAAAAATTCGCCAGAAACGTTCCAGAGCACTCCGACACGGAAAAAGTAGGTTCAAGGCCACGAGGGGTCATTGGTTGAGAAGTCGCGAGACAGTCGTTGTGGCGGGGCGTGCCAAGCGTGGAGTGGAGCCAAATTTAAAGAAATTCGTCGAAACGGTTCCAGAAGCACTCCAGACACTGGGAAAAAGGTAGTTTGAAGATCATCGAAGGGGTCATGGTTCGAGAAGCGGCGAGACATTCGTTGTGGCGGGCGTGCCCAAAAATGGTGGAGCCAAATTTTAAAAAAATTCGCAAAACGCTTCCAGAGCATTCCAGACACCGGGAAAAAGTAGTTTAAGGTATCGAGGGGTCATGGTTAGAAGTGCGGGCATACATTGTGCGGGGTGGCGTGCCCCAAGGTGAGTGGAGCAAATTTTAAAAACTTCGCGAAAGCGTTCCAGAGCACTCCAGACACTCGAAAGTATTTTTATTGTTAAGATCTCGAGGGGTCATTGGTTGAGAAGCGGAGACATTCGTTGGGCGGGCGTGCACCAAAATGGGTGGAGACAAAATTTTTAACAAATTCGCAAAACGGTTCCAGACACGGGAAAAGTAGTTAAGGGCCATCGAGGGGGTCACGGTTCAACACGTGTAGGGTACCTGTCGTGTGTGGAGCGGGCGTCAGGTGAGCGCGGACTAGCCATTCAAAACTCCTCAGGCGGTCCAGAGGCACTCCAGGCCTCTATGTGAATGACGCCGGCTTTCGGTGGGGCGTCGCTTTTTTTTTTACTGCCATCGATGATCAAATGCCTCGACTAATACCCGGATTTCTCTCATTCTGTCCACTTGATCAACGCTCCTTACCCCCACTCCTACTACGTGTATGTTGAAGAGTAGCAGTATATGCTATCTGGCTCAAGAAATGTCGACCACCTGTTCAGTTAAAGAAAGCCTGATAGTTAGTGCTATGAAATAGAGTGCGAATAAGGCAAGCGCAGTGGAGGCCGAGCCTGCTCGGCGAAGCCGTGCTGCATCTCAGAAGGAGGCGCGCCGGTGTCAGCCGGCGAAGCCGGCTGGTATTTTCAACATTTGTTTTCCTCACAAGTTTATCAGAAGTTTGACGTTAGACTCCTTAGTTGCTGGTTCATCACTCTTTATGCATGCGAGCTTAATGGACTCAGAACTGAGCTGCTGGAGGGTCCTCCGTCAGATAGCATAAAAGGAAGCGAATCGCTGTTAGTTCATGCTTTTGAGTCCGGAAGATAAAACCAGGCTACTGTTGCTCCCAAAACGAATATTTTGACTTTAGAAAATATCTATTGCTTTAAATACCGTTTGAAGCGGAATTAGGTAGCACGCGCACGTAACTTTTCGCCGCCCTCTATAGAGCAGTGTGCGCCTTGAGACGTTAGTCTCAAATCTGCTCCCAAAACTGAAGAAGTCTTTTGGAAAAGGGCTAATTAAGTTTTCTCACACTTTCCTCACTTAACCGAAGGGTTAAGCGTGTGTAGAGCAGGAAACAATCATTCGCGGCCCCGAGTGAATGTGATATTTGTATTCACGCGCTGAAATCATCCGCAGGAGCGAATGCGCGGGCAAATTTCAGACTTTGATTCGAATTCGAATAAATGAGATAGCCAAGGATTCAAGGGTCAGGTCGGTGAGGACCAACCGCCTCTTTGGATTGGACTGAATCGATTACTACCAGAAGTGAAAAACCATTTAGCCATGTTGTTTGACGGAAGCAGCATCCGTGCGCCTGTTCACATCATCTGCACTGTTTCTCAGATAATCAGAAAATCCCATCAAGACCACCCGAAAATCATAGGCTAGCCCCAAGACCGACATTCACCCTCCTTCACAGAGCCACCATTTTTGGAAGTTCCATGAAAATTTGATTTCGCCAAAGATTCGTCCTGTGCGATAGTTCGACTTCACGTCTGAACACGAATATCGCACTCCTTGGCACGAAAATCCATGTGAAACACTATGCGTCTACACGCCCGAGTCTGCTTTTAAGCCGCAGGGCGCTAAAGCTTGTCGATGAGGAACTCTTCCCACAGAGAACTGTAGGGAAACAAAGATGTAGTAGCAATGGTAAAGAACTGTTCTGTTTCTTTTGTATCCTATCTTGTTCAGAGTTTCTAGATATGTTTCTCAAACCAGCAGAATCACCTCTGTACCAAGAATGAGGCTCAAAGGAGACTCCACTTTACTGAAGCTAATAAGAGCACAAACGACTGATGGGATCTTGGGTGACTTGAGCGTTCTCATTACCAGGTTGCTTGAGAGTGTTCTCGGAAACGCGGGGAGAGAAGGCTTTTGGTCGGATATTTTATGAAACGAAGAGCTTCGAGCCACTTTCAGGCTTTTGAAAAAAAGCGAAAGATTCTTTCTCAACACCTCAACAGAAATAAAAAAAATCGAACTTCATGAACGCCGAGGCTTCAACGGGAGTCGTGCAAGGCTCCCAAGAAGTCATGTCACCATCAAACCGTAAGTGGTTTATTTCACATCGGGGACGGTAACAATGTCTAGCACGGTAAACTTAACTGGTAAAGTTACTCTGATGGTTCAGTACCACTTTCTACAACTGAAGTGTTGAATCACTGCATTTCAACGGATGCTACTAGCCAAACAAATATGTAAATGCATAAATCGGGAAAGTTGAAACTTTCTCTAGACAAGACACCTAAAAGATTCTACGGCACCATCCAAATGAGAAGTTTATAGAATAAATTCTCGTTTCTCTTTCATATATATCCATAACTGGGAAAATATCATCTCGCATGTTGTAGAGGTGATACCTACCAGATGCCGACGCCGCCTTCGCTGATTCACTTTGACGAGCGATTGCGTTCTAGAGACACGCTATCGGAGTGAGTTTTCTTGCAAGGACACTAAGAAATCGGGCTTCTTCAATGAATTAACTGTTCATTGAATGTTGTGTACTAATAAATTGCGTTCTTTGACGCGTAGCTTCAGACGCCCAGAACTTAAAACTGAAACCAAACCTTTTCTAAACAAAATAAGCACCGTCAGAGTCTATACATTTCTGCCAATGTTTTACAAGGATATAAACACTCTTGTGGTAGGAATCCGCACTTCTGGAAGCAGTGAAGTCGTTGAAGGCAGTTTCATCAATCTGACCTTTGAACACCCTACCCTTGATAGTTGAAAGTTGATTGTTGAAGTGCTTGAAAATATGGTAGTTCATTAGCGACAGGCCTGGGGTGCATGCTGGATGAGGCAGTCATTTATAGACGAAGTCGTTCGATTTGGAGCGCTTTTCGTGATACGGAGATAATGGAGAACCTCATGTCTACGGAAAACGCTCTAGAACTTTGGCTATGAAACGCTGCCTCATTCTGCGCACTCAGCCGTATGCTATACTTGCCCTTGAGGGGGAAATCTCCCCTACTAAGCCTTCGTTGTCTGCCGTTATCTCTATCAATGTCCATCGCCTCTCTGCTTCATCCCTCTGCATCTCTGTACCTCCCAGTCACCCCAAATCTCCCCCACCAGCATGTGGTGGAAGAGAGGGGAAGAGATCGATTATTCTCTGCGCTGTACTATATTCGCTCAGAGCGTGCGCCAGACGAGTATGGATGCAGATTGGCGAGAGCCAGAGGACGAGAGGCATCAGCAGAGATAATGGCAGGGAGTGGAGGGTTCTAGAGGATATCTCCCCTTGAGAGAGTATAGCACACGACTTGCCGCCAACGGACTGCGATATTTCCAAGCACCTCAACAACTCCAACAAGGGCAGGGTGTTCTAGAGTCAGACCGATGCTGAAACTGCCTTCAACGACTTGACTGTCTCCAGAAGTTCGGATTTCTGTCACAAGGATATTTATGATCTTGTAGAAAGTTGGCAGAAATGTGTGTTATTGTGTTCTAGCGATGCTTATTTAGTTTGATAAAGTTTCGTTTGAATTGGATTATGGACGTTTGAAGTTACGCGTCAAAAAATGCAAATCATGTGTACACAACATAATATCTCCGGAAGTGGTGAGTCTTGGAAACAGTAGTTGTGCTGCCTCAAAGTGATCAGTACCCTGCCTCCGTTTGCTGTGCTGCTCCAAGCGACCGGTACCCTGCCTCCGCTTGTTGTGCTGTCTCCTAGTGAACATTGTGTTGGGGTCCAAAGAAAACAAAAACAATTTTTTTGCAAGAACTTTGGGATTCTTTGTAGCTTTGAAGTTTTTCTGCAAATTTTGGTGCCTCTTTTCTACTGTTTGTACATTCAGACTATAGCGAGGCTCCGGGACAGCACTGCACTAGCACGGCATTGTAGTTAACTTTTCTAGTACTCCACAACGCTCTTTGGTTACCCAAATTCCCCGCTTCGCGTGTAACGCCCATCTACGGACAGGGTTTCCTTCTGGGCTCGGCTAAGCCCTATCAGTCGTTATCACTTTTTGTCACCACTAATAGTGCCCCCGTCCCACTTCTTATATTACCTGTGGGAACGAATTTCTACATACTTGTCACCTGTATTGAAGTCTGCACCCCTAAACTTTCTGAATTTGGCACTAACAAACCAATACCGCCTTGAAGAGCGACGATGACGGCAACACTCCTTATCGAGCTCTATCAGTCGTTATCACTTTTTGTCACCACCAATAGTGTACCCTCCTACTTCTTATATGTATTACCTGTTGGAACTGACTTGCTACATTCGCTGCGACCGCGTTATGAACCTGGTAACTCTTCTCTTCTTAGGCCAAGTTTCGCGGACGGACAGACATGCAGACACACATACATAACATACACACATACAAACCGACATACTAAGTTTCTGCTTTATAGAATAGAAGGATTATTCCTCATTCTTCGAAAACCATCAACACCAGCGCACAGCTCACATAAAACCTACTTCAACAATTGTTCGAAGAGCATGGTAATATGTGTTATCGACTGCGAGAAAATTAAACAGGTTCAACACAGCTATTCCGGCATCTTCAATGCCATTAACAGCTCGTTTGCTCCTGGGAGCGAAAGAAATTCCAATTCTGCAACACACTGAGTACACCATTATACAGCCATACAAAAAAAACAACCAACCTTAAAGGTACCTCGTGCTCAAACAACGAACAAGCCACTTTCATCAAATTCCGGCTTTTTTTATCAACAGGATCGAGAACAAAAATCTGAAAATGTAGAAATACATGAGCAGTAATCACGATGAGCCGTTCACTCCGATTGTAGGACACTTACAGTAACAAAGAACACTGGAAGCGAGCCAAAAAAATTGAAATTGTGCACTGGATCGTTAACTGACCTTTAGTTCAGGTAAAAGCATTGTTTTCATAGCCGAGGTGAGCAAGGTGTGCCAGAAAGAAATTTGGTACAAAACGGACGTGCCGTGAAGAAATGAATTCGGTGTTAAACGACCGAGTAGAAGTGTGCACCCCGATAACATCGAGCATTTGTAGAAATATCTTATCTGGTGATTTATAGCCGATATGACTTCCCAATCAATGACTATTCCCGCAATCAGGTGTTTCTTCCTCTACTGCTCGTTCATAGCTGAACGCTCAATTGTAGCAATCAGGTGCTACAATTGAGAGTTCAGCTATGAACGAGCAGTAGAGGAAGAAACGAAAAATATATAATTAACACCCCAAGTGAAATCCTCCCGTGACAGTCCCACAGCCTCATTGTACGAGTTCTCCAGGCTTGCTAGTGACGCCACAGGTCTCAGGACATCTGTCAACTGCAAAACCTTCCTTCCCCTTTCAAATTCTTTCCTCCTCCTTCTTTTTCCACGCTCCTTCTGTCATCCCGCATCCTCCAGTACTATAAGCGATCTAAAATCAAGAAAAAATGAAAAAAAAATAATCAACTAGAAAACAGTTTTAAAAGCTCCATGACATTAGGACTACGATAAGCATGCAGGACGCAATGCAATATGAGCTTTTGCACCGAATCGACTGCATCGCTTCTAAATTTGAGCGACGCTCAAACCCATTTCGCCTTGCGAAGTGGTCTGCCACTGACATACTGTTTTAAAAAACGTATCCAAAGAACAACTCATAAGCTCGCAAGAGTCGACACGCTAGAACTCTCATTGACGAGCACAGGAAATAGCCCCACGACGCTAAGCAACGCTTTGCGCACACGCAATTCCTAATCGTGCTTACAATGGCTCCACTACTCACATGTCTGTAGCCTTTTTACTCAGTCGTTTCAAGTGACGAAAGTGATATATCATCTGCGAACACCATCTGCCAGATGCACAGAGGCACCACGCACTACTTGATCGCGGGAAGTGTTTTCGAGGAAAAAGCGAAAAGAAGCTTCAATACACCTTAAACGAACCATTCCCTGGCAGACACGCGGCCTAATTGTACGAAACCTCCGGACGTGCTGGCAAATTGACACCCTGCAGCCGTTGCGCAAAGCTGACTCATAGAAGTCTCTTCACGTCTTCCACAACAAAATGCTACTCAGTGCTCAGAAAAACCAATACTAGATACACTGGAGCAAAACTCGTATTAGGAAGTCGCTCGCGAAAACAGTGTACGAAATCAGGATCACAGTAGGCAATGCATGACCAACTTCTGCAACACTGCAGTTGCACCACTGGTTGATTTAAAGGGCGCTGAATGCATCTCGCCCAGCAAAATGAACTGCTATTGCCTACTTGTTTCCAGAAAAGGTGTCTAGGAAAAGATAACTGAGTGTAATGGATGCTGAAGTGTTTACTAGTACAGAAAGGCGGACTAACCGTGAAGAAGGTGTGGAACAGCTCTGGTTTTTCTTTGTTAATGGAAGAGAACGAGGTCCACTGCATGCGCGGCGAGAGACCACCGACAAAATTTTTTAAAACGGATATGGACATTTCCATCCCTTCAACTTAGCCATTTGATTCTGGAACACCTACACTAGGAGCACTAGCTGGAATTACAGTGTTTATTCCCAACGTGTAGCCGCACATGGCAAGCGTCTACCAGCCGACTGTTGACCGGCCTGCGACGTCCAGACGGAAGAATCAGTGTCCCGAAGGCCAACGGAGAAGGTCATCCACCTGATCTCTTCCACAGCCACGTAAAACCGCCTCCGTATCGCTTGGAGTAGGATGCATGCGTCGTTCCTTCATTTCTCCCTTCCGAAGTCTAATACCCCATTTCGTTGGTGAGAAATGGTACGGCACCCGTTCCCGACGGAATCAGATCCGAACATCTGAAAAATCTTCCGCCAGCACTCGTCGAACCTCTGGCTCGAGTCTTCACGCGCTACCTGTCGGAATGCAAGGTGCTCACCTCGTGGAAAGCTAGCACGCCTGTGTTACTGTGTAAGAAGGGAGACCTGCATGATACCGGCAATTATCGCTCAACCTGCCTCCTGTCTCTAGGCTACAAGTCTGACTTAACGAAATCCTTCGACTCCGTTGAGACAGAAGTAGTTATCGAAGCCCTGGGCAACCAGAGTGTTCCTACTCAGTACATCAGGATTCTTCGTGAGCTTTACAGCGTGTGTGAAAATTGATGTGCGGCTGAATTCAACGAAGACAATGTTCATAAGAAACGGATTGGTTTCTGATGCCCCATTCTCGCTCAACGGAACGAACTCACCGAGTGTTCCAGCTATGTACATGGATCGGGAAATCAACATGACGAGCGACTTAGCACCAGACTTGAGCAGAAGCGAGCTGCTTGGGGAGCTTTCAAGGACATTGGTGAAGCAGCGATTACTATATTGATATGGCTATATGATACTTGACTTCTATGAAATCGGGGCGCGATCGAAAGGGCGATGCACGGAGCTTCCCGCTACACGCAAGTAAGAGAGAATCTAGATCCCCGCATTCTGCCGACAATCGAAAATCAGAGACGCAGCTGCAGTAACCGAGGCTTCGAGGATCATGGGCCGGGCTTATCATGCGTCTTGAAGATGATCGCTGGACCAGAGCGACTGGATCCCATGGGATATCAAGCGAACACCTGGCGACGGCCTACGCGATGGTTAAACTTCCTCGTGAAAGCTCTGAACAAATGATATGAAATTTATTGTGTCCCGAGAGAATCTATTGGGGAACTCTAGCACGTTGCGGGGATAAATGGAGACGTTACTGGCGCCCACTTGAAGAACTCGATGATCAACCGGAGCACATGTGATACAGGTGATCCATGTTTTGTTACAGCGGAGGTAGCGTGAGCAAGTGGTGCCACTTACCACGTGCATGGTCTGGGGACCAGATCCCCGATCGGCTCCCGCCTGAGCCCGCCGAGCTTTTCATTCTTGCGGAGGAAGCCAACTGGCGCTAGACCCTTTGGCTGTGTAAAAACATCGACTTCTGCATTGGCTGCCCTCCAACACTCCCTCCCACTCGTGCAACTCACTGCATATCATTTGGATTCAATTCACATTCAGAGACCACTACGACCCTATATGAAGGCATAATGCGTGCAGCTCTCTGAAAAGAGTAAAACGACGCTGAAACTTTATCCGTTGAGTTTCTTAATGCACTGATGCTTCGCACCGTTCTCACTTTCACAATGCTTCGGCGTGGTAGTCCCAGATGGCTCATTGAAAGGAATATCAGACCTGCCCCGATGTTCGCGTCTTTCTTCCTCTACTTTTTTTCACAACTCTTCGGAGTCCTGCATTAGTCCTGCGTTGGGAGCTTCCAGAATTTATCCTATATCAAAGTGGAAGTGGAGTACCACATCGCAATAGTGCTCGAAATTTTTTCGGCCAGCGACTTTGACCAAGCAGCTCTATTTTTTTGGAATAGCATTTTTGGGTGCACTTGGTTCAAACAAACAGAGCAAATTAAAAACTCCACTGACGAAGGCTAATATTGGGAATATAGCAGAAGACATATCTCCCAATTCAACCAGACAAAGTCAGGACAAGTACGTTTCTTCTTTTGACAAAGAAAGCGGGAACTATGGTATTATTTGCGAGACGTGCCACCTTACCAACATAATGAATGAAATGAACATTATGCCAGTTGCTTTCAGTCACATATTTGCCAAAGTAACAAGTATTCATTGGTACTGAAGCATAAATTATTTTGCGTGAGGAACAATCAATATATTTACTGATGTAAAACTACCTACTATACATATTCACTATAAGCTAAACCAGATACAATTAAATTTAGATACATACAGGTGCACATAGCGGTATTGTTTAACCCTTAGCCTAGGAGACACGCACAATCTTCACTCACCTCGAGAATAACCTTGCATACTACTACCATCACTTCTTTTTCTTCTTCAGCTTATCTCTCTATGGCGGGGTCCACTTTTCTTGATTTGTTAGGCCACTTCTCCCGATTGAATGCTTGCCCGGGATGGATGCCAATTATCTTAAAAGCAGCATGAACGTGTCTAGCAAGCGCTGGGGCATCCCTCACCACCTTGAGCTCGAGACCGTCTTGAGGACGATGTAGGATTAGCACGCAGTACGAGACCGCCATTGGAGGCCAGATTCGCGCATTTTCCTCACTACGGGGGCTACACCGAATTTCTTGCGTATTCGTACGTGATCTATCCGCGTAACGCCAGCAGTCCAGCGTAAATTTTCATCTCCATCGCTCCTTGGCGGGCCCCACATTCTTTTGTCGTAGGCCAACATTCAGCGTCGTATTAGCGGCAGGTCGAATGGCGCTCCCATAGGACTCCTATCTAGGCGCTTCGGTGTCGTCTTGTCGTAAAGAATGCCAGTCACTCCTCTTAGACCAAGATCCAGTCACACGCAAGCTCACTTCCGAGTCCAGGGTGCCACCGGACGTAATTGTTGATCTGAGATGCTTGACCGCCATTGTAAAAGTAGTCCCTTCAAGCAGTTCGACTAATAGTCCACCGGGGAGCGAAGTTTCGAAGATGTCGCTTTCGAAAATTATCAGTGCTATGATGGAGCGCATTGAGGTGATGAGGATCAGGTCATGGTGAAATACATCAGGGCGTTAGTGCCGAAACTGCCAGAGTATAGCATGCAATTCATGCTGAGGAGAAGAGATGCCTCTAAAGGTATTTGGTGTGGCAGAATCGGCCCCCGATACAGCTCCCTTCATTAAGCAGCAGCAGCAGGATGTTGGATTATAGGGGGGTGGAACGCTGCCTTGTGGGGGTGTTCCACATGGGGAAACTGGGCGATGCACATCCACGGCTGGTGAAGCTCGTCCTTCCATCAAATAGTCATTGGATCGCTGCCCGATAAACAGTTACCGTCAGCGTGCCGCACGGTTATCAAATGTCTTTATACGGAAAAGATCAGCTTCTGCGAATGCGCAAGCGTAAGTTAGGGAAGAGTGCAAGGCTGGCAACAAGCAGGCCAACGGCCGTGTTTGGGTGGTGTACGTGGTTACGACGGACGACGAGCCCCCGTTCGGAAGCGTCCAAAGTTCGAGCTATCACAAAAAAAATCAACTTTCACGGAAGTGAGCATTTTTCATGATGGGTTTTCCACTGAATACATGAGCTTGGCGGGAAGTTCTGTCATAATTGTCAAATTAAGCTTTCCTTATATAGAGAGGCGTGTAAGATCAAAATTGTACAGCAATGTTGCTGCGGGGTCCTTGCTGAGCACCTCATGGATGTCATCGCTTCACAATGCAGGGGAAAGCGGCGCAAAGTTGGACAACAGCTCAATCTTGACTTGAACTCGGGTTATGGAGGTTTTCTCGTCCACATATCGATTGAGTACGGGAGGCAACTCGCAGTTAGAAGGATCAATGTCTGTGCTACACCAGTGCAAAGGGGGATCCATCCAGCTATATTGCATGAGGTACGGCTTGAAACTTTTTCGGAAGGAATGCGCTGCATTACCATGATGAGGGCGGGCTGTGCGAACAAATTTTTCCCCCTGATAGACGGTATGCTTCAGATCTCGTAGCTGCTTTGCGTACACATTGATCGAGAATGCTCCTTCATCCAGCACATTCACGACCCGCAGCTCTCTCAATCTGAGTTTGCAGGTAACCCAAACATCACTTAGTCATCAAAAACAAAACTGCAGGATCCCGCTTTGAAGCATTAGCGTCGTGGAAGGTTGTCTAATAATTGAGGGCATCGTTCTTATTCAGCTCCATTAGTTTGGCACAGCTACCGTGGAATCAGGTTGGTGGAAGAAAGGGTGGAAGCGCCTGGAGGCGTCGGTGCCGGTGGTAGCGGACGAATCCTTGTCCGTATTGCAGAAGAAGAAGAAGAAGCAGAAGCAGGAGCCAAGCGATTGGAACTAATAGAAAGACCACTCCTTGATGTATAAGTGCTCATATTACCGGTTACCCCTCTTTAGGTAATGTGCAAGTATTTGAGTTCGAAAAAGAACGATGTGACAGAACTTTCCCGCCAACCTAATACTTCAGTAGACTCTAAGTAATAGATTTTGATAGAAACTTCCAAAGCATCTCACCTACAACTCAGGACGTCAATCGCGAGATAAGTGAATCAAGGGAGCGAAGCTAGTAGTCGAATCGCGGATTTATACGATCATGTCAATAGCGACCAAAATGGTTGCTTTCACACAGAATCATCAACTGGATATAGCCAGGGCTGTTCTTAATAGTGCTCGGGACGTTGCAGCCAAGATAAGCCACTTGCAATATCCCCTTATGAACACAATCTCAGTAAGGTGAGCGAACCATATGGGGATTGATGCGTTTGCAGCTGAACTCAAATGTGTTCGAAGCCTTCTCCTGATAGGCCTGCAGACTAGGTTCCACGTTGACATCAATACGAATGAGAGGCTCGTTATTTTTAGAGGATATCCCGTTATGGGTCATAATACCCTTCAAAAACAATTATACCGTGGCGAGTTTTCTCTTTCTAGGATTCTCTGATTCAAGCCAACCAGTTTACATTTATTTGACCACTGCTGCTGATTTTAATCAAGGAG